CACGCCTTTGCCTTTTGCTTCCCCCTTCCAAAAATGTGGCCTTTGTTACGCCACTGCCAAGATGTGTTTTTATAAATCAGCGGAAAGTGTGTTATCGAACACACTAAGATGTATTTTTATCAAAAAGCTGTGTTATTGAACATACCTTACATTCATCGAAAATGTGTAAGAAAAAGTGTGTAAAATACAGGTGTGTTTCTTAGCATACCTAGTCGCTAGGTGTGCTAAGTACGTTGTTACACACCATGCTGTGTTTTCGAAAACATCATGTTCTGTTATCTAATACACAGAGATGTGTTTTCTATAATTATATAGAAGGTGTGTAAAACCTACACACCCTGGTGTGCAATACTAGGTGTGTAATTAAACACACCTGTTTTTAGAGTGTCAAGCATGCGTGTGATTTATTATAGCGCAATTGAATCAGAGGTCGACAAGAACAACGTTTATGACCCTTTTTCTAAACAGATGTGACGATCTAAAAATCCGCTGCTTACATGAGGCAATTTCTTTGATTTGAACACATGCACGTCTTCTTGTTTGATACAGTCAGATGCTCAACCAACTGAACAATGCAAACAACGGTGGTTTTGCTTCCAGACTTCTGCAATGTTAATAAATTTTTGTTCCTATAGGAATCAAGCCCTCAAACAGACGACGTTTCATTCAGTTATCTTGTCAAAGCTAACATTCTGTAAGTTACCAAATGTTATTAAATTGAAGCATTTTCAGCAACATAAATGAAAAATAATCACTGCATGTCCATATATGCTGCAAAATTAGCAGGTTATAAACTCTCTATTTCGTCTTTTACCGCTAACACATGTCGAAACTTTGACCAACGTATACTATGACTAGTATACTTAGCAAAATTGAGAAAATTGAGTTTTTCACTGATAAAGACTTACCCTTGTTTGTCTGATAAAATATTTTCCTTAAAAGAGTGAGTTAAATACAAGACATTTTTGTTCCAAATCAGTTGGTGACCATCTCAGATAATGACAGCAAATAGTACAGTCTACTTGCGTCTCGGTGTACAATGAAAATATATCTCAGAAATAGATAAATAATGGCAATCAGACAGTAAATGTTAGCCTTTTTACGTAAGTTTAATCAGAAAATCCTGTCAAATTATGTCATTATATTAATTAGTGATTTTAAGAAATTGCTTATACTATAATACATTATATTATATCATGTTATTTCATTTCTCATATCATGTCACAAATCGTATTGTATCGCATCGTAAAATGATTTATTATATAAACACAAGTGTTATATAGAGATTTTGGCCACTGAGAAAATCGTATTTAAACACACGTAAAAAATACGATATTTTTACGTGTGAAAATATCATTTGTTGTAAAACGCATTGCCACGGACGTTTGTTTTTTTACACTGAATTTTTTTTATATAATAAACAGAAAAATACATGGGTGCTTGGAAATATCAGGTTCAACACTCGAAATAAATCTGGTATTTCCGCGCACCCATGTATCATTCTCTATATATTGTATATTACATCATGTTTTGGTTTGTTGTGTTTTGCCCTGCGCTCTGCTCTGCTCTGCTCTCAGGTTCTGTTCTCAATTTCTGTTTTCAGGATCTGTTCTGAAGTTTTGTTCTCAAAGTCTGTTCTGAAGTTTTGTCCCCAGGTTCTGTTCTCAGGTTCTGTCTGTGCTGTTTCAAGGTTTTGTTTTGCTCCTTGGTGATCTTCTGCTCGTATGTTCTGTTATGTTCGAGGTTCTCTGCTGCTCCTAGGTTCTCTACTGCTCATGCTGCTAGGTTCGGTTCTGCTTCCATGTTAGGTTCTGCTCGAACAGTTCTGCTCTATTTCCAGGTTCTTTACTGCTCTCAGGTTTCGTTCTGCTTCTGTAGGTCCTGTAGTGTTTCATTAAAAATTCTCTATTGTTCATAGGTTCTGTTCTGCTTGTAGGTTTGTTTCTGCTTTTAATTCCTGCTTTGTTTCCAAGTTCTGTTCTGAAAAACGTTTTCTGTTCGAAATTGTTTTCTTCTCCCAGACTCTGTTTTCGTCTCTGGTTCTCAATTGCTCCCAGGTTATTTTTTGTTTCTAGACTGTGGTCTTCTCCTGGATTTCGTTTTGCTCCTAAGTTCTGTTCTGTCTCTGGTTTGTCCTCTATTCCCAGATTCTGGTCTGTTCATAGTTTCTTTTATGTTCTTTGATTGTTTTCTCTTCTCTCTTTCTGTTCTGTTTCCAGGTCTGTTACATTACCAGTTTCTGCTCTGCTCTGAGGTTCTGTTTTATTCTCAAAATCTGTTCCGTTTTGCCAGTTTTTCACCGTTCTCATTTCCTCTTCGCTTTCTATGTTCCGTTCTGTGGCGACGTTCTGTTTTACCGAGGTTCTGTTTTATTTCTGTTTGTTCCCAATATCTGTTCAGTTCTTGGTTTCTATTCTATTCCAAAATTTGTGCTGTCTCTAAGTTCTTTTGCGTACTCATTTCCTCTCGTTTTCCTATATCCTGTTTTATTCTGAGATTCTGTTCCTGCATCAGTTTTATTTCAGGTTTTGTTCTTTTTCCAATTTGTGCTATGTCAAACATTCCGTTTCGTTCCCAGAGTTTGACCATTCTGTATCCAGAGTCGCAGTGGTAAAAATTTGATAAAAGTATGATAAATGTTAATAAACATATGGCATGCTCTGTACTAGCTGTTACCTGGGCTTTAACACGTGTTGTTTTATTTTGTATTATTGTGTTTTGTTTTGTTTTGTTTTGTTTTGTATTATTGTGTTTTGTTTTGTTTTGTTTTGTATTATTGTGTTTTGTTTTGTTTTGTTTGTTTTGTATTATCGTGTTTTGTTTTGTTTTGTTTTGTTTTGTATTATTTTGTTTTGTATTATTGTGTTTTGTATTATTGTGTTTTGTATTATTGTGTTTTGTATTATTGTGTTTTGTATTATTGTGTTTTGTATTATTGTGTTTTGTATTATTGTGTTTTGTTTTTGTGTTTTGTGTTTTGTGTTTTGTGTGTTGTGTTTTGTGTGTTGTGTGTTGTTGTGTGTTGTTGTGTGTTGTTGTGTGTTGTTGTGTGTTGTTGTGTGTTGTTGTTGTGTGTTGTTGTGTTGTGTTGTGTTGTGTTGTGTTGTGTTGTGTTGTGTTGTGTTGTGTTGTGTGTTGTGTGTTGTGCGTGTTGTGCGTGTTGTGCGTGTTGTGCGTGTGTTGTGCGTGTTGTGCGTGTTGTGCGTGTTATTTCAGGTTTTGTTCTTTTTCCAATTTGTGCTATGTCAAACATTCCGTTTCGTTCCCAGAGTTTGAACATTCTGTATCCAGCTTCGCAGTGGTAAAAATTTGATAAAAGTATGATAAATGTTAATAAACATATGGCATGCTCTGTACTAGCTGTTACCTGGGCTTTAACACGTGTTGTTTTATTTTGTATTATTGTGTTTTGTTTTGTTTTGTATTATTGTGTTTTGTTTTGTTTTGTTTTGTTTTGTATTATTGTGTTTTGTTTTGTTTTGTATTATTGTGTTTTGTATTATTGTGTTTTGTATTATTGTGTTTTGTTTTGTGTTTTGTGTGTTGTGTTTTGTGTGTTGTGTGTTGTTGTGTGTTGTGTGTTGTTGTGTGTTGTTGTGTGTTGTTGTGTGTTGTTGTGTGTTGTTGTGTGTTGTTGTGTGCTGTTGTGTGCTGTTGTGTGTTGTTGTGTGTTGTTGTGTTGTGTGTTGTGTTGTGTGTTGTGCGTGTGTTGTGCGTGTGTTGTGCGTGTGTTGTGCGTGTGTTGTGCGTGTGTTGTGCGTGTGTTGTGCGTGTGTTGTGCGTGTGTTGTGCGTGGGTTGTGCGTGGGTTGTGCGCGGGTTGTGCGTGGGTTGTGCGTGGGTTGTGCGTGGGTTGTGCGTGGGTTGTGCGTGGGTTGTGCGTGGGTTGTGCGTGGGTTGTGCGTGGGTTGTGCGTGGGATATGCGTGGGTTTGTTGGACATTGCGTGGGTTGTGCGTGGGTTGTGCGTGCTGGGTTATTGCGTGGGTTGTGCGTGGTGTGCGTGGGTTGTGCGTGGGTTGTGCGTGGGTTGTGCGTGGGTTGTGCGTGGGTTGTGCGTGGGTTGTGCGTGGGTTGTGCGTGGGTTGTGCGTGGGTTGTGCGTGGGTTGTGCGTGGGTTGTGCTGTGTTCCGTTCCGCTCTGTTGCGTGTTAGTGCGTTTCATCATATTTTATAGGAAGTGGCTTTCTATTGAGTTGCATGCGAGTATTTGATTTTTTTCAATTTTAGATACGCAGCAAGATGCGCAGCGGATTGGTAATATGTTTTTTTATCGTGATGGTGAACGCTGTTTCTGGTCGTTATCGAGGAAATGGTAGGTACTATATGTTATTGATCGAAAATACTTGGAAGCATCTAGACTATATTGAATAATACTTCTTAATTAATATGTTGTTTAGCATTACTCTTCACAAAATTATTTCAGAAATAGAGCATGAGTTGCGAGTTGTGTGCTTTTATCCTGTTATAATACACCGTCCCAGTTTCACGATACCGGATTCGCTTCGGAGCGAGTCGAGTGACATCAACCAAGACGCTTTTCGGCCTCTTACAACTTTTCGTATTTAAAGTGTTTGACTAATTCTGTTATATTATCACAATTTTGAGTGCTAAACTCCCCTTCAAACAAACATTAATAATTCATAAGCTTATTGGCAAAGGATGACAAATATTCCCAATTTTTGTGAAATATGGAAGTTCTGGATTGTGCAAAATTCAGTGCTTGCAAACAAACATTCCAGCTCATATGGGTCTTATGTTGGAAAATGTATTTCCATCATCGTCCGCACTCTCACTTAAACAATGACTGTATAGGATCGCATTATGTATAAATGTCTAATGGGGCATGTACTTTTAAAAATCTAGCGGATCTTCATTATTAAGAAGATCATAAATGGGGGGAGTCACATGAGATTTTCCTATATCATATAAAAATTTCCCTCACCACTCTATAGGTATAAATAATGAACGGTTCCCTATAATTTCTTAAATACAGATTCACAATGACTTTTTCTTCGCTGTTAACAGATCCCGTCCATTCAGATTGTAAATCCGGAAAGAAAACTTTTTCAGTTACAGTAGATGAAACCTTAATTCTATTTCAAATAACTTATATAGCTAATGGCTCGTGTCGAAAAGCAGACTGGTGGTTAAGTTTCGACAGAAGAGGATGGTCCAAATGCCCAGCTAGATTTCCATACATAAATGGTTTGTACAGAAGCAATACTTCACAGCCGAGGCGTGACACTATTAATCTTTTGGAAGAAGCCAAATGTTGTCGTAATGGGAATCAGGCTAAAGCTAAATGCGTGAAAGCGAATTGGGTTGCCAGCTTTGATAGGTAATATATATTTGGTCTAAATTAAACATATTCTCCATTTTTGTCTTTGCACACAGATCTAGTGAGAGGTAGCCGTAATGAGAGTAAAATCTGAAGGTTTATTAAATAACGCGCTCCAAACTATCTTTGCATTTTCCAAAATAATATTTTTTCGACAAAAACAGCCTTATTTACAAAATTTTACGCACAACAAAAACCTTTTAATCAAAAGAGCCGAATTTTACAGATAAAAAGACCGCCTCCGTAAAAAATAATAATATTTGCAATACATGCGACAATATCTTACGATTTCAAAACAATCTTGGATAAATAACGAAATGTGCAACACTCCATTGGGTTGGAAATACACAAAAGTATCATAAATGTTTTCTGAAATTCTGATACTTTTCAAATTCCCTACATGTAAAATATACTTACAGATTTTAGGTAAAATATACTTAAAGTTTGACGTAACTTTACGGATACCGGTAACTAAATACATTGGAGGTTCAGATTCTGAGCCAAATCAAGTAAGGAAGCGAGGTTTGCATTCAATTTGACCATAGGCCTCGCCTTTTTCTATGAGTCTCATTCTAGCGAATTTGCATGGTATCTCCCCACGCACAGCAAGTTTACCTTTTTTGTTAATTTCCACCATTGCCTACATCCTCTCCCCTGAAAATTTACATTTCATTGAATTTCTGATACTTTGGACTACCAGTCTCTGCAGTTTTAAGGTTTTCAGTGTATATTTCAATTGGAGCATCTCACAAAAATGTATGCTGCTTAATAAGGTGTATCTATTTCTTCGCATTTCCAAGATAATGTATTGTGTTTTGCTTATTCGTAACTTTTGCTAGTCCGTATCCTCTATTATTGCAGACAAAAATTGACGGTCAACAAGATTTTTGAAAATGATTGTTTATGTTGACGGGTTTTTGTATGGAAACAGTTTTCGCGCTTTAAGCGTGATGTTGCATCTTGCTTTTCTCTCAAATATAATTTCTTTCGACTTATTTTTCAGATAGTATAAAGCCTTTCAAACATTTTTTAAAAGTGTTTTTATATTTTGCAAAAAATGAGCAGAAAAACTGCAAAATAAGGGGAAAATAGCAAAAAAATGAATTTTGGAAAAAGCAAAGACAGTTTGGAACGCGTTTAAAGAAATAACTGTGATAGTAGTAATAGACCCCACTATGGCGGCGGAAGTAATTAGTATGCAAAATTTGGTGTCGGAAGTAATTACTATGCCAAACTATGGCGTCACTTTGTTGGACAAGCCTGGGCCAAATGTGACAGGTAACGCGACCAGTTAACGCGGGCAAGCCTGGGCCAAATGTGACAGGTAACGCGATCAAATGTCCAAAACAGTCATTAAGCAGAGCTCGAAATTTTCAGCACAAAAGACAACGCTTGCTATAGCTATATTGCCATTTCGCTGTGAAAGCCATAGGATGGAGTATCTGCATGGAAATGCTACATCTTACAATTTATTGGAAGGAATATATGCGAATGCAGTCGCACAAGAAGTTGAAAGACTTGTGTGGAATCCTGTAATGGTTGTCAAGTCGGCCATCCTAGTCAAGGGCAACATGAGTGCCTCGTGATGAACGAAAACGAACGATGGCAAATGTATGGTTTACAAGCGATCGAACGAGTAAATGCTAAGCGTATGGTTTGGAGTGAATTGGCTGAGGCAATGAGGGTACTAAAACTGGCGGTTGACAGAGATGTACTCGAACATTTACACTGAACTGGAAAAAGATCCAGATTCTACGTTTGTCGATTCATTGACGGAATTACATCAGAACACTGAGAACCATGAACTACAATGTATACTGAACTATGTGTTTTATTGGAGATTAGAACACCCTCTCGAGTCAGCAGCTGAAACGTTTTTCTCTTACCCACCTAGTTACATGTATTCTGTGAGGGCGACGGGTGAACGATTTAGAAGTTTTGAGGCAGATCATAAAATTGCTTATCAAGAATTCTTGGAGAAAAATCTTGTAGAATAATTTAACAAACAGTCTTAGTTGTAATATTTTTTGGGCTTAAAATAATAAATATATTTCTCACAAGATACTGTGTTATGTGTTGCTATGTCATTGGGCGATAAGTAGACAAAGGTTGAGGTAATTAAGGGGATTAAGGCAATACGATTTGCATTAATCAATAGGATCTTAATGGATATAAATGGATATTATTACTGGCGGCCGTGGGCATGTTCAGGCAAACAGTTGGTATTAATAGATTTATTACGCGGGCGTAGACCTTAAAATCTGGCGGGTGGCTTTGCAGGCAAACATTTACACATGAATTTAGATTTAAAGCACATTTATTTCTTCAAAACGTTTACAAAGTTATACTTCTAATATATATCGTCACTTGTTTGAGAAGTATCGCTATCCGATTCCTCGTCGTGGCTGCTTTCATCATCGTGGTTGCTTTCATCTTCCGTAATCCATTTTGTACGTCTTGGGACTGCTATATTAGAACACAGTTTTAGCCTCTCTGTAGCTGAAAAATTACTACGTTGGCCTTGCCTTCTCTTGCTTTCACGCCCTGTCTGATGTAGTAGGGCTTTTGCTCCTTGTTCGGCAAAGTCTTTAACAACCTCTCTTCCGTTAGCCCTTGCAGATTCTCTTACTTATTTTCGTTGGAGTAAATCTTGACCGACTTCTGTTGCAGCTTTTAATGCTCTTTTGCCAACAACTTTGGCACCTTGTTTGAATAGAGGGATAGCATATCTCACAAGGCTCTTGAAATTCCCACCAATCCCATAACCGCTTTGAAAACGTGCATCACGATATCCAGCGATGTTTCCACCATGTTGCTGTCTCAAGAAATGGTCTCTCAATAGTTTTGCGTGCATAACTAGTGTATCTCTCACACAGTGAGGATACGTCCGTTTATGATTAGGCTTTTATCAATCTCCAATTCTGCAAGACCTTTTATAAGTATGCTCAATCCAGTCGGTTCGGGAATATCTGGATGGTAAGGCATCACACAATATTTCAGAAGGTCTACAATGTTAGTTCCTCGTATGATTTGTCCTCTGTAAACGATTTCTCCTTTTCCATTCCAAGTCAAAATCTTCGTAGACGTTAAAATAGAATGAAGGATTTTTTTTGCTTCGTGCCCATTATCAACGTCAAGATATTTAAAAATGTCATCAAGTCCCTACTGTTCAGGAGATGATTGTTTGTCGCTATCCATGATCTGAATGAGGAGATAACCTTAATACTGATTATTTTATACTAATTCTGCAAAGCCTTCTAAAAGTGGTCCAAGTACCAATCCTAGAAAGCCACTTCCTCGCTGAACAAGAATTTCCTTTTTCGTTTTAAAACTTCTACTTCTGTCTCCTAAATCAGCTAGATCTTGTTTGAAAGTTCTGACTTTGTCCTTCGTTTCTTTAGAGTATGTGAAATTTTCTATACCGTGACACAAGCATCGAATTTGCTCAGCTGATGCAGAATTAAGAAGAACTCGCAGTTGAGTTAGATGAGAAGTGCATACGAGCTCTACAAAAGACCTGTACATATCAAAGTACGTCATCTCTATTCGAGAGTTGGAGACTAACTGGTTCATTTGCTCGAGAAACATGACTTTAAAAACGTTTTTGCGAATATAGATTGAATCATTGAATCCTAAGATTGAGTCATTGAATCCTAAGATTGAATCATTGAATCCTTAAGACTGAATCATTGAATCCTAAGATTGAATCATTTAATCCTAAGATTGAATCATTGTATCCTAAGACTGATTCCTTTAATCCTAAGATTGAATCATTGAATCCTAAGATTGAAACATTGAATCCTAAGATTGAATCATTGAATCCTAAGATTGAATAATTGAATCCTAAGATTGAATTATTGAATTCTATATTGAATCATTGGATCCTAAGATTGAATCATTGAACCCTAAGATTGAATCATTGAATCCTAAGATTGAATCATTGAATCCTAAGATTGAATCATTGAATCCTAAGATTGAATCATTGAATCCTAAGATTGAATCATTGAATTCTAAGACTGATTCATTGAATCCTAAGATTGAATCATTGAATCCTATATTGAATCATTGAATCCTAAGATTGAATCATTGAATCCCAAGATTGAATCATTGAATCCTAAGATTGAAACATTGAATCCTAAGAATGAATCATTGAATTCTAGATTGAATCATTGAATCCTATGAATAATCACGAGCAGGCATAAATAGTCGACCATCTTAAAAATAATTACATTCGACGTTTGTAACAGAGCAGTGAACATGTCTCATTCTTGCACAGATTGTAACAAATCATTTTCAACTTCAAGTAACCGTTCACGTCACCAAAATACAGTTCACGGACCTGGTACTCCACCCCAATCCAGTGTTGTTGTCAATGTGTCCATTGTTACGTAGCATCCTTTCACATGCATCGCAGCTGGGTGTAGACAAAGCGGCAAGACTGTATGGGTGAAATCTCTCCTGGAGAATGCACAGGAAACTATACGTCCACCTCGCCAACGTATCATCTGGTGTTATGGTAAATGGCGACCATCCTATTTTGACATGATGAGGACGATTCCTGGAATCGAGTTCAATAAAAGCATTCCTGAAGATATCGATAAAGTGGATTACTTGGACATATCTCAACGGAATTTGATCGTACTTGATGATCTCATGGCACAATCTAGTAAAGACAAACGTATAGCTGATCTTTTTACCAAAGGAAGCCATCACCGAAATTTGTCCATCATCTATATTGTCCAAAATATATTTCATCAGGGCAAAGAAATGAGAAATATCAGCCTTAATGCTCACTATATTGTGCTGTTCAAGTCACCAAGAGATAAACAACAAATTTCTATGCTTGCAAGGCAAATACATCCTGGTAAAGTTCAAGAGTTTATGAGGAGTTATGAAGATTGCACGAGCCGACCTCGTGAATACTTGATGTTGGATTTAAAGCTAACAACAGACGATCAACAACGACTTAAGACAAACGTACTTCCCAGCGAGATTGCAAAGTTTTTACAAAAACAGTCATATCGACAACCACCACATCTAAATGCAATGTATGATGCCGAACAGCGAACGCAAGAAATTATGGAAGCGCCACAACTTTCTGTGGCGGAAAAAAGCAAGCTTTACTCAGGTTAACTAAATCGGTTTCTGACTTTCAAAATTAAGATGGATGTCCCGGCTCACTATCACGAAGCCCCTGATCAGAGAGCTCCACCTGTGTCTGCTACTTCTCTCTCTGCTGAGATATCACCACAAGTGCCTCCTACTCCTGTAGAAGCGTAAATACCACCACAAGCGCCTGCTACTCCTAAACCTAATTTCCTTACGCCACCACCAACAGAAGAGGAACCAAAACTCAAGCGCAACTTTTTTTATAATTGGATAGACTCTACAGATTGGAGGCCCCAAGCTTTAGCAATGATGAACCCTGAGCAAAGAGAAGGTTACGAACAAAGATTACTTCGCGAGAGACCAAAATATATTCTAATGAAACCCGAGCAAGCAGCAAAGTTATCCCCAGAAGATAGACAAGAATATGAGAACTCTTTAAAGATAACAAAAACACCTAAACATTACGGTCTTAGAAGTAGATCGTACTAAATTTTGTGAAACGTTTTGAAGAAATAATTGTGTTTTAAATCTAAATTCATGTGTAAATTTTTGACCGCAACGCCTCGCCCCCGATTTTAGGGCATACACCTGCGTTATAAATCTATTAACACCAACTGTTCGCCTGAACATGCCCACGGCCGCCAGCAATAATATCCATTTATATCCATTAAGATCCTATTGATTAATGCAAATTGTATTGCCTTAATCCCCTTAATTACCTCAACCTTGTCTACTTATCGCCCAATGACATAGCAGCACATAACACAGTATCTTGTGAGAATACATTTATTATTTTAAGCCCAAAAAATATTACAACTAAGACTGTTTGTTAAATTGTTCTACAAGTTCTTTCTCCAAGAATTCTTGATAAGCAATTTTATGATCTGCCTCAAAACTTCTAAATCGTTCACCCGTCGCCCTCACAGAATACATGCAACTAGGTGGGTAAGAGAAAAACGTTTCAGCTGCTGACTCGCGAGAGTGTCTTCTAATCTCCAATGAAACAAATAGTTCAGCATACATTGTAGTTCGTGGTTCTCAGTGTTCTGATGTAGTTCCATCAATGAATCGACAAACGTAGAATCTGGATCTTTTCCAGGCCAGTTGCTGTAAATGTTCGAGTACATCTCTGTCAACCTCCAGTTTTAGTACCCTCATTGCCTCAGCGAATTCACTCCAAACCAAACGCTTAGCATTCACTCATTCGATCGCTTGTTAACCATACATTTGCCATCGTTCGTTTTCGTTCATCAGGAGGCAGTCATGTTGCCCTTGACTAGGATGGCCGACTTGACAACCATTACAGGATTTCACACGAAGTCTTTCAACTTCTTGTGCGACTGCATTCTTCTATATTCCTTCCAATAAATTGTAAGATGTGGCTTTTCCATGTAGACACTCCATCGTATGGCTTTCACAGCGAAATGGCAATATAGTTATAGCAAGCGTTGTCTTTTGTACTGAAAATTCCGAGCTCTGCTTAATGACTGTTAAGACATTTGGTCGCGTTACCTGTCACATTTTGCCCAGGCTTGCCCGCGTTAATTGGTCGCGCGACCTGTCACATTTGGTCCAGGCTTGCCTGAGCTAATTGGTCGCGCTACCTGTCACATTTGGCCCAGGCTTGCGCAACAAAGAGACGCCATAATTTTGCATACTAATTACTTCCGACACCAAAATTTGCATACTAAGGGTCATATTTGGGTCACTACTTGTGACTTTGCGTCAGTACTTAATAATGGTATATGATGAAATTATTCTGCAAATTGTCTATTTAAATACGATCGAATCAACTATTTAAAAGATACAATAGAAAACGTTTTCCTGCGAGTTTCCATCGAGGCATTAAAAACACACATGGAAGAAACAATAAATTTATTGGTGGGGAAATAAGATCGAAGGCGCACCCTGCGGCTTTGCTTTGTTAAAATTTTGGGCAAAACAACTGCGATAAAATGTTTCAAAAGAAATTTTTAGTAATATTATCAGGAGAAAAGACCTCCACTCATCTCTTCTTATTCAATGTTCATTTTGCCACGAGACATATTTTGAAACACTAGTAGGATATATCATTGCTCAGAGAGATTTTGTTATGTGAAGCAAAGTAATTTTATTTTTACTTGAATGGCGCGGAACGACCAGAAATTGAAAAAAAATGGCCATGTCGCTGTGTATTCATTGCATGGCATCGTGGACTCGGTGAAAAATGTTTGCGTGCTTTATTTTGATATATTTGCAACAAAACAAAACACAAAGTTTGAGTATTCTTCCTTATTCCTTTTCTTAAATTAACCTCAAAATTCTACCACCAAGCAAAAAAATTGCCGACTTTATCTTGTGTTTCGCCTCATTGGTGAGTTCAAGCAATTGATGTTTTTGTCAACATGGACGTCACTCAGAAATTTGTATCACTAATTTTAGCGGTGTTGTGAATCATAACGCTTGCGAAAAAAGAAAAAAGAACATTAAAAATCTGACATATTGCCATACAGTAGGTGTTGTAGATTACCACAAGTTGATACAAACACAGTTTTTACTCCAGTCCCTCCTCATCAATCTGACGTCTGCGCTGACAGAAACGTCGCTTGTTTAAGCTCGCTAATAATATTCAGTACACGTCAGGATGTACAATTTACATATGCTCTGTTATGATAAGGAAGGTTGACGTCATCTTAGCTGTCAATTTGGTGGTTTGTCCACCACTTTCCACGGTTGTGTCATGTGCTCGTAAAACAAATCAAAATCTTTTTAGGGTTCATTTTAAGTTGTTTTAATAATTTTTATAGAAACAATAAATGGAACTTATGTCCTTCAGGATATTATCTGTCTGGACTTTATCGTTCAGGGGGTAATTATCTGGACAACATTGAGCATGCGTGGTGTTGTAAACCTCGTGGAGCTCCTAATTCTTACACGTCGTGTTACAATGAGAATGTTGGGTTGAGTTTTGACTGGCATGAGAAAGGGATGGTGTCATGTACCAGATTTGGTTTTTACATCACTGGCATGTATCGATCATCTTGCAACAATATGTATTGTATTGAAGAATTCAAATGCTGCTTATTGCAAACTAGAGAAGGTGGGTCAAATAAACATAATAATACTGTGAGAATCTTTTACCTACGGATTATCCATGGTTAAAATTTAATTAATCTGCAGTTTTCGATATATTCCACCGGGCCTCATTGAAAAACACTTTGGTGTTATGAATCACCCGAATAGGCCGAATATAAATATATAACTATCATTCACTCGATCATTCACCGCGTCTTGCGTTGTTAAGGCCCATACAGATCGGACGCGATTTGGCAACGCGACGCGAATTTTCAGTTTTCAATGACATTTAACTTTAATATTTTTCAATGTTATTCAAATATTCGGAACCACTTAAGCAATTTTAGCTATTTGGTCTGCATATCTTGTAAAATTTTTATCCGTTGACGGTTATATTTGTTTTTTAAACTGAAAATTCGCGTCGCGTTGCCGAATCGCGTCCGGTCTATGTGGGCCTTTATACATGGTGTCTAAAAAAACGCTATGGAAATTCAACAGGCTGTTGTGCATCACAAACTTAACTAAACAATTCAATTTTTACAGAACGAAAGAACAATTATTTAGCTTTTCTATGATACCTTTCTTAAACCGTGGCGATGAGAAATGGCCGCATACTCGAAATCACATTCTTCCACCGTTGGGAATTGAAAATACATTAATTATGCAAAGTTAATCAATCTAAAAGCAACTCGAGCCTGCTGAAAGGTACTTCGGTTTCGTATAACGTTTTTGATTTCGAATGTTCTCTGTTCAGTGGTTAATTGAACCATGTTTAATGCAATAATGGACGTTCTTATGGTCTCACTAAGACGAAGATTGACGAGTTGTAGATAATTTAACATTCAATTTTAATTCCATCTTGGGATTATTGTTTACGTTTCGTTTTCCATGCAATTTCCAACGGTGGAAGAATGTGATTTCGACTGGCAAGTTTTATTTGACGAGAATGTGGCCATTTCTCATCGTTACGATTTAAAAAGAGTATCATTGAAAAGCTAACTAACTGTTCTTTCGTCCTATGTAAAAATTGAATTGTTTAGCCACGTTTATGATGTACGACAGCCTGTTGAATTTCCATAGCATATTTTGGGGGACACCCTCTATACTGGGTGTCCCCCAAAAAACTTGAGCTGTTTGATTTCATGTAAGGTAAACACTATAAAAGCGTCAAATATGCTTTCGCGAGGAAGAATTGGAAATTGCCATAAGTTTAAATGGCAGTTTGGTAGCGGTTTTCTGATTTCTCGTCATGTCCGCGTACTATATTAAAGCACAATTTTAAGTTTGCCATGCACGAAGTATGATATTATTCAATATATATATATATATATATATATATATATATATATATATATATATATATATATATATATATATATATATATATATATATATATATAGTTTTTCGTTTTACCTCAAAAAACCACAACAGTCTGTTTCATCCGTATAGGAATCATATATATATATATATATATATATATATATATATATATATATATATATATATATATATATATATATATATATATATATATATATATTATATATATATATATATATATTTATATATATATATATATATATATATATATATACTGAAGACTATTTTCAAAAAAATAGTCGATGAGTTGACGTAAGGTAGAAGAGCGCTCAATACCATAATAAGTAGAGCGGAATTAATTCAGTCAAGGTTTGAATGTTTGCGTCGCTACTCTGAGTTTCACGCTTTACGCGATCATCAGGCAACTGACAGATATTATTCAATATTCATAATAAATATAGGTTATCATTTTACAACTTGATTAAGCAGGTATCTGGTTACATGTGTACATTTGGAAAACAAGGCATAAATTACACCGTTTAGATCCTGGTTTGTATGCTTTGACTTTCTTCATAATGGACCACTTTATTGTATACTGACTTTCTTGTGACTTCAGTTTCCAGACGTACTTGGACAGTTCGGTGTTGCTCTTGTATTCCTCATGTCGGAAAGACTTAGTGTGATTGCGGCATCTTGTTTTAAAATCGCCCGCCGTCATGCCTATGTATATTTTCTTTTCCTGGTTGTTGGCAGTGCTGGTTGTCACTTCGGCTTTGTATACGATGCTCTCAGTAAGACATTTTTTACCAAGTGGACAGTTGGCGGGCTTTTGGCAGTTGCACATTGGCGTGTCGTTTTTTGTAGGTGTTGGTATTACCGTTGGTATGGATGATTGTATTACCCTAGCAGTTGGCGTTCGTTTTGTGTTTCGGTTGAGTATTTTACGATTATGTTTACGGATGAGATTTTTCATGTTTGTCATGCAACTGTAACTAACCTGGACTGTGTGGCGGTTGAAAAGTTTGTGCAGTTTGTTTGAGGGAGGAAAATGATTGTCAATTAGGTTTGGGAATGTGTATGCTACATTGGTCTTAACGTTTTTGCTATAAGGGGGTTGTACCATATAACGTTTCGTAATTGTCTGTTTCGTTTATCGGAGTTATTAGTGTTGTTTTGAGTTTGTGTGTACGTTAGGTTAACGTCAAAGTTGCTTTGCTTGAGAGCGTTGTTGTAAAGTGGCGCTGCTGCTTTGAATGCTTCGTCGTCACATGATAGTTTGTTAATGCGTTTGTTGACTGAGTGTGGAAGTTGTCGTGTGATGGAAGGTGGATGGTTTGATAATCTGTTTATGAACAGTGGTTCGTCATTAGGTTTTCGGTATGGTTTATATTTACTGTTTGATAGGTGAAGCGTCTGGTCAACGAAGTTCACGCACTTGATGTTTGTCTGGGCGGTGATTCTGAGGTCAAAGCTCTCAAAAATGGTGATCAACTCTTTCCTCGCTTTGTCCGCAAGTCTGCCTGATGTTGTTCTGAGGGCAGCCAAGCCGTCGTCACGGTATATATCTTTCGCAAAGCGTTTCTCGAGTGTGTGCAGAATGAAAAGTCCGACGAGGTCACAGACCTCAGCGCTATCGAAACTTCCCATGGTCACGTCAAACGTGGTGGTGTTGTTCTTCTTCGTCCAAGCTTGTTGGTTGTAAAAAAGAAGGGATTTGCGCGCGTGCTTCACAATGCGGATATCGCTGTCGGAAATTGCGATGAATTGTTGGCTCCATGCAATTGCACGGTCGAGTAGACTTTCAGTTATGGACGGGTAAAATTCGACTATATCGAAAGATAGAAAAGACAGTCTGTCCTTGTTAGTTAGTTAGTGAGTCAAACCAAGTGTTTGTGTCCTCAGAGTTTCTCTACTGGTTTGCACAAGTGTGTAGGCGGATTTCACTGGCATTGATTTTGTCCAAGATGGTTTTGCTAACTTTGTCGAGATCAGATTTCGCCGGGTTTATCAATCGGCACTTTGGATGGTTTTTGAAGCCGTCCTTGTGATCTTTTAGTGAAATAAACGCTGGCGGTTGGTTTGCTGGTTCCATGCGGTTTCCGATGTTTAATTCGTTGGTGATATTTTTAAGTTCGTGGTTAATTTTGTCAACTGTTCCGTCTTGTGCCAATTTGTAGGTGTTGGTGATGTTCTCAGTCAACAATTTGTTGTATTTGTCCGCGTGCATTTCATAGATGTTGTGTGTCTTGTCAGCAAAGATGAAGACATTTTGAGACGCTTCTATCTTTCGTTTGTCTTGCTCTAAGGTGTTCATGAATTCGCCGTTCACGTGTCGGAATTTGATGTTCTCTGTCATATGTATAATGTCGTCTTCGAAGCATTTAGCTCGGGCACAGCCGGTGGTGATTGTTTTGATTTCAAACCGAACGTGGGAGTCTTAATTTTCACGCTTGCCGCTTTCGCCGTTTAAGTAGAAATGCGCTTTCCATCTCATGCGTTTAATAACGTTTTCGGTCTTGTGAATGAGTTCTCTGTGGTATTCGTCGTATCCGGGTAAGCCTATATTTTTTAGTGAATAGTTGAATCGTATCTGCCGCATTCTTCCTTTCACGATACCAAGGCAACAAGAGCGCTCTACTAGGAAAAGGAAGAATGCAGCAGATACGATTCAACTATTCACTAAAAAATATAGGCTTACCCGGATACGACGAATACCACAGAGAACTCATTCAACCGACAGAAAACGTTATTAAACGCATGAGATGGAAAGCGCATTTCTACTTAAAAGGCGAAAGCGGCAAGCGTGAAAAGACTCCCACGTTCGGTTTGAAATCAAAACAATCGATCACCACCGGCTGTGCCCGAGCTGAAACGCTTCGAAGACGACATTATACATATGACAGAGAACATCAAATTCCGACACGTGAACGGCGAATTCATGAACACCTTAGAGCAAGACAAACGAAAGATAGAAGCGTCTCAAAATGTCTTCATCTTTGCTGACAAGACACACAACATCTATGAAATGCACGCGGACAAATACAACAAATTGTTGACTGAGAACATCACCAACACCTACAAATTGGCACAAGACGGAACAGTTGACAAAATTAACCACGAACTTAAAAATATCGCCAACGAATTAAACATCGGAAACCGCATGGAACCAGCAAACCAACCGCCAGCGTTTATTTCACTAAAAGATCACAAGGACGGCTTCGAAAACCATTCAAAGTGCCGATTGATAAACCCAGCGAAATCTGATCTCGGCAAAGTTAGCAAAACCATCTTGGACAAAATCAATGCCAGTGAAATCCGCCGACAAACTTGTGCAAACCAGTGGAGAAACTCTGAGGACACAATCACTTGGTTTGATTCACTAACTAACAAGGACAGACTGTCTTTTCTATCTTTCGATATAGTCGAATTTTACCCGTCCATGACTGAAAGTCTACTCGACCGTGCAATCGCATGGAGCCCTTCTTTTTTACAACCAACAAGCTTGGACGAAGAAGAACAACACCACCACGTTTGACGTGACCATGGGAAGTTTCGATAGCGCTCAGGTCTGTGAACTCTTCGGACTTTTCATTCTGAACACACTCGAGAAACGCTTTGGGAAAAACGTAGGCCTATACCGTGACGACGGCTTGGCTGCCCTCAGAACAACAACAGGCAGACTTGCGGACAAAGCGAGGAAAGAGTTGATCACCATTTTTGAGAGAGCTTTGGCCTCAGAATCACCGCCCAGACAAACATCAAGTGCGTGAACTTCTTGACCTTACGCTTGACCTATCAAACGGTAAATATAAACCATACCGAAAACCTAATGACGAACCACTGTACATAAACAGATTATCAAACCATCTACCTTCCATCACACGACAACTTCCACATTCAGTCAACAAACACATTAACAAACTATCATGTGACGAAGAAGCATTCAACGCAGCAGCGCCACTTTACAACAACGCTCTCAAGCAAAGCAACTTTGACGTTAACCTAACGTACACACAAACTCAAAACAACACTAATAACTCCGATAAACGAAACAGACAATTACGAAACGTTATATGGTACAACCCCCTTATAGCAAAAACGTTAAGACCAATGTAGCATACACATTCCCAAACCTAATTGACAATCATTTTCCTCCCTCAAACAAACTGCACAAACTTTTCAACCGCCACACAGTCCAGGTTAGTTACAGTTGCATGACAAACATGAAAAATCTCATCCGTAAACATAATCGTAAAATACTCAACCGAAACACAAAACGAACGCCAACTGCTAGGGTAATACAATCATCCATACCAACGGTAATACCAACACCTACAAAAAACGACACGCCAATGTGCAATTGCGAAAACCCCGCCAACTGTCCACTTGGTAAAAAATGTCTTACTGAGAGCATCGTATACAAAGCCGAAGTGACAACCATGCAGCACTGCCAACAACCAGGAAAAGAAAATATACATTGGCATGACGGCGGGCGATTTCAAAACAAGATACCGCAATCACACTAAGTCTTTCCGACATGAGAAATACAAGAGCAACACCGAACGGTCCAAGTACGTCTGGAAACTGAAGTCAGAAAAAATTCAGTATACAATAAAGTGGTCCATTATGAAGAAAGTCAAAGCATACAAACCAGGATCTAAACGGTGTAATTTATGCCTCGAGGAGAAACTACTTATTATGAAAGCGAAGAAAACTGAATGCCTGAACAAACGCTCTGACTTGTTTTCCAAATGTAGACATGTAACCAGATACCTGCTTAATCAAGTTGTAAAATGATAACCTATATTTATTATGAATATTGAATAATATCTGTCAGTTGCCTGATGATCGCGTAAAGCGTGAAACTCAGAGTAGCGACGCAAACATTCAAACCTTGACTGAATTATACATATATATATATATATATATATATATATATATATATATATATATATATATATATATATATATATATATATATATATATATATAGAAAGACACAAAAACTTAGCAAGCTTTGTTTGGCATATTTATTACTATACAGTTTCGTACCACGTAAATAACGTGGCACTCTTCAGATAAAATAGCCTATGTTTGACCTATAGCTTCTAACGAACTTTTTAAATATGTACAGATGGTATAAAGGACGCTTATCTAATTACAAATCAATTAACACCTCAATTAAGTAGTGTCACGAAAATATTAGTATCAAGTTATAAAGTTTTTAAGTAGAAATTTATTAGCGTGTCTACACGTGGAGACAAGTTCGTTGCGACGATTAAGTGTTGCAATGTCCGGTTTAC